ATGGTTGCGAAATTCAACGGAATGCTGGTCAGAGGCTCTGCAGTCTTTTTCCGTATGATAATGAAATTGATTTTTCTTCTTTGAGAAGGAAGGAGGAAAAGAAAAAGTCGACGAAGGAAAGACCTCGTTCACCATCAAGAAGGAAGTATTTTCACAGTTCAGGCAGAGTCGTCCTTCCATCGTTGTTTGAAAATCGTGTTAGTTACACGCAGTTTAAACGAGCGAAAAGGTATATATTGATGTGGTTTTTTTTGTTGTTGTTTGTTTGTTAGGTTCCTTTGGTATCTGTTTTCACGGTACTAATTTTTGTTGCGACAATCTAATGTGGTTTTTTTTTAGAGATTTGTCTCTGGAAGAGCTGTATGAAAAAATCAAGCATGACGAACTTCAGCTCTTGCTAGGGTCCTCTCCACTTTCAAATTTCACTAGAAGGGAGTTATTTTTGGAGGTTGGTTCTTTTGAAAGGGTATTTGAATTGCAGTTTTTTGCTTACCAAGAAAAGAGGTAAAAAGAGTGTGAAGTTGTTGCAGTAGTGAAAGAAAAACATCTCAAATAATGTTTGGTAAACTCTTTATGCTGATTTAAATTTCATGACTTTTTCAGATTATCGTTTATTTCTTTAGTTAGAAATGGTCGTGAGGCTTTTATTAGTTCAAACTAGTTTTTAAATATTTCCTTGAAAGTTAAATTTTGATTTTTTTAACCAGATGGAAGGGACCTGGCCTGAAAATCGATAAAAAGTCATTGCCTTCTTATTTTTAAAATTGTTGGTCAGTCCTTGCTGACTTTCAAAAACGGTATTGATTTATTAGTATTGGTCTTATATGAAAAAACCTTTTGGAAATACATTCTAGACTTGATTTTGTTACTTTCCGAACTTTAACTTGTAAAAGAAGAAGGAATAGATTAAAGCAGAAAAAATGAATTTCTTAGTCATTTGCAGTTTATTTCATTAAAACGGTGCAACCGTAGCTAGATATATCAGTTTCTGTTCTAAAGTTACGAAGGAGTTATTTCGCCTTTCATTTAAATTTTGGGAATTCTGTGGAATATTAAAAAGATGTTTGCGTTGGGATAAGTCAACTACGAGGAGAATCATGATTTGAAACTTGAGTGAGGGAAGGAAAAAGTGGGGGGG